AATTTTATTCAAAACCCTCCCACCCTCTCTTATTTTCCATTTCCTTCGTACTTTTATGATATTTATTTAAAATCTGATTATCTGTCCACTTCACCTACCTTTAGTATTACGTAACTTTTAAGGTTTGACCTAATTTATTTATTGAATTATCCACATATACACATATTACTACCTTCGCTTTCCTTGTCGCCACATGCATAAACTTTATTATCCACAATGCAGAGTAAATTATTCGTTAAACATCAACGGAAATTCTAAACCATTAATAATCAATATCTGATTGATCGGACCAATCACGATTTTGCGGCTAACGATGAGAATTAGTCCGTCTTAACATCAGCACAAATAAAAGCGATTGCACTTGTTAATAATGACATTTTGAGGTATACTATGGGAATATTTTTGCAAATCACACAATGATTTCACCCAATGAATCAGACAAATTTTGACAATAGCAGTCACTTGCAATTAATAGTGTTCTCTGAGCTGGTTGGTTTAGTTGTGAAGTTTTCGTCGTCCTGGACAACATCTTCAGCGCCAACCAATCTTCTCTATTATTTCAATTGCAGTCATTGAAGTACATTTACGCCTGTCATCAGAGGTTTTAAAAATTTCTCTATGAGACGTAATGCTTCAAAATCCTAGCACTTGGATGCATAGCAGGAATTTTGCTGACTGATAAAATCCAAGACTATGAAATGTATACTACTGCCTACATCGCATGCGCTTTGATGGTCCAGTGGAAGAATGCTCGTCAACCGCGTAAGTGGCCCTAGATTCGATTATCAGCTGACGCTCTTCTCTACCTCTCTTAGCCAGCAGTAAGCCTGGTGGGAATGGAAAGTTAAGCGTGAGGCTAGAGTCTTCATCCAGTTAAAAAAACCCACTGCTACTGAAACTCCAAGGCTAACACTTGAAGCCCTGTGTTCCTCTCGGGACGCAAAGGAATGAGAGGGCATACTCTGCAACCAGGATGGATGGACTCCGATAATGCCTACGATTTTGACGCCTACACCAATTAACATTCTATTGCTATTTCTTTGTGTTTGGCTGACTTTCGAACGTATATACATCAAGTTTTTCTGTTGAACGTTTTCGAAACAAGGAGCTCATTACAATATTGTTTTAGCAGATTACTGTGTTTAACATACGGAGGGCATGGTTAACTTCTAAATTTTGACTACAGATTTATTAAATCCCAATGATACAACTAAATTCAGACATTTACTTCATGGTCAGTCTATCTATCCATATTTTGTAGTGTATTTTTCCCTTACACTGTTAAAAGCTTATTCCCAGACCAATCTCTTTTTTTATACATTGGTCAGTACAGAAAGAAACAATGTCCTTTCAATACATAAGACTAAATACCTCGGGAAAAAAATTCCTTTTTTTTCTTTATTTTATACTGCTCTTCAATCATACTGAAACTGTAATTAGAGCCATCAACAGTTATTTTCAAATTTCTTGCGACCAAATTACACAGTGCGAGGTGAGAAACCACTACAGTACTTTTGGATACTAGAAATATTTCGTTCACAATATACAATCTGCTAGATAGCCAAGATTCAGGTGGTTTGAACTGAGACAGCCATTTGAGCTGTGTTGCGCCGAGTATACCACTAATGAGCGAAAGGGCCGACTGGCGTCTTTAGGTTATTTCCGTCTGGCTAGCAAAAATTACTGTTAGCTGTATGTAGTTTACAACTACTCACATCGATCAGTCAGTAGTATGTACTACAGCAGTGCTTTCGCGAATCGACTTCTTACTATATTTATTTCTGTCAGATTAGGTATACGGCCAAACCCAAAATTACTAGAAGTAATAAGGAATGTTTTGAGAGATTTAGATAAGTTTCACCGTATCGAAATTGATTTAGGCGATAGATTTTTGTGTAAATTTTTTAAGTATTGGTTTTGTAGGGATTTTGTTTGTTTAATTGACTGGAGGATTTTATCATGAGCTGGCATCAGTTAAAGAACCATTGGAAAACCTTGGGGTACTGGACAGCAGTTTTTTCCTAGTGTGGGACTCTTTACAGTACGCACCCACTGGGGTTCGAACCCAGGACAGCTGTTCAGTACTCACAGGTCTTCCAATGGTTCTCTAACTGGTGTCAGCTCATGATGAAATCCTCCAATCAATCAAACAAGCAAAATCCCTACAAAACCAATACATGGAAATTAAATTTTTTAATCGCATATGCAGACAACTTTGAACAAATATCCACCAAATGATACCTTATTCTTTAGGCAAAAGTGGGCTGAAAGATGGCCACTAAAATAGTTAAATTCTCAAACGTTACATGTGCTATGAATAATATCTGTCCATGTTATTGCACGCAGATAATTTCAGACATAAACTCAAGTCTAGGTATATGAGAATTTTTAGTAGAGAATGCATAGAATAATCTGAGTTTTACAGACGTCGACCAGTCATTTCAATCAGTGGTTTAGCTAAGCCAAAGATAACTAAACTGCCTGGAAGTGGGACAGAGAGATGCCGTACGCACAAGAAATTGAAGTCACAATAATACCGTTTTTATACTAGCAAGTTGATTAAGATAAACAACTAATTTTTAAATTATACTATTGGAGGGGGAAAGCCACCACGGTTTTGTTCCTAAACGCAAAACATTCTTTCCAGTTACTTCACTCAAACAATGTTTTGTTCTCAGTAGTACTTCTATATACCCAAAATATGATCGCCATATGGCAAACAATCTAGCTGAGGTCTCAAGAAATCGATTGAGAACTATGTTGCATGATGATAATATATTTTCCGCCTGATGATCATGTCACCATTCGGCAAATATACATATATAGGAACCTATGGTTTTTGTGAAGTACAGCCTGAAGAGCTAGAACATTTGAAGAATGAAACATATGCCTTGGTGATTTGAAATATGAACAAACGAACAAAGAACGGGAGAAAGCATGCTCATGTTGACTTGCAGTCGCAATGATTAATATTGGTTAACAGACAGTTATAGAACATAGGCACCGAACTGTACATACATGACTTTGAGTGACAAGAAAGTGAAATATGACCTGATTGTCGTGCTGGGAAAGCTCTTGAGCTTGGTACTAACCCTAGACCAATGATATTTTGAAAACTAGCCATATGCTGACCAGCTGGGGTTGAGGGAATAAGTATGTTGTAATTTTGCATTCTCTTTTAAGAGTTACAACATACATCCAACATCTGAGATGTGGTAGTTATGACTAGTGTTTAATTTTACATAAGCTATATACACTTTGAAGCACCAATACGACACAGAAGACTGGGAAAAACAATAGAGGTGAAAGATAAGGTGAAGAATGTGTTTAGGGAGTAGCATTAGCAGAGAAACTGCTCCAAGAATCTAGTGTCATTCGACAGGTCCGCCACATGGGAGTTAACAGAATAACTACACTCCGATACTGTACGTTCGTTCCTCAAATACAACACATACGTAAAAGCTGAGATGTCGGATTGAGTTTTAATATCCGATTCGGCAAAGATTTTCGGAGCTCACAGGTCTAATACTTGGTTTAATTTGTCAGTATTGGTTACACAATCGGGAAAGAAGGAATATCAGTCGCAGTGGGCAGGAAGCAAGAAGATGGGGAGTTTGGGTAATGGACAAGAAATCTTCATATCGTAATGAAAGTATATAGGGGCTGCTAATTCCTACTGCAAGTTCTTTCACTACCTGAAAGTGAAGAACAACTACGAACTCAGCATCTCTTTACTGTCACGATAGAGTTTCATGGAAGATATAAAGGCAAACTGCATTTGCAATAGTTATAATCCTACTCCAACTCCAATTCTCAAAGACATCCTAATCTTCCTAAACCTGTCCGTAAAAGGCAACCAGGTACTTCATTGGAACTACGAACGAAACAAATTGATGAATTGTAGGCAAGAGGTTCATATTCTACCTAAGACTTCGTAAACAAGTTTATTATTTGTGATATGAAGGAACATATAGGCAGGAAATGATGCTAACATTATTGATAAATTATAATGTCGGGGATCTGCTGTATATGTTCTGTGGAAAAATAACGTTTCAGATATCGAATCCAACTAACGACAGTGATACCAGTTTTTGAACATAGCTAAGCTGTTGCACAGCTGTGAGATAAAATTAGAAAGTGTAGCTTAAATTGTAGTTCAAATGCACTATGGCTGACGGTAAAGTGACTACTGAGGACATTCTTCTGAGGAATAATCACTGACCAAACACGTGCACTTTGGCTAAAAACTATGATACGCATCAGCTAAGCTACTTAAAAAAATCAAAACTAAGAGATAAGATATTTTGTTTGATGAAATACTTAAGTAAAGATCCTAATACATTGGTATAAGGAACTGGGTCACACCACCGAATACAAAACAAAAAAGTAAACGAAACGGCTCTTGACTGCACAAGCTACCTCGAAATTAACTATCAAGAGGGAGTAAAACATGTGTATTCAACTCAACTTATTTGCAGTGTTTTCTGTACGTTATTAGAATGGATTAAAGTACCAGAGGATGCAGTTAGACTTATTTGAGACTATTTCTTAATCAAAATCAACGAAAATAGGATAGCCTGAAGAATTCATTGTTGAAAATTTTATTTTCGAATCATACAAATGGGCTACCAACTAACGCCTAATTCTCCAAAAAAGTATTTGGTTTCATAGACTGTTTGATTGCAGCTGCAAGTCTAACAAGAACTATGGTACATACTGAATACATATACACCACTGCTAACCGAACGTCTCATGAACAGTGCTTTAGATTCACAGCACTATTGAAAGCTTCGTTTATTTATGTCTGGAAAATGTAATGGAAGTGTGATTTCGCAGATAACTTGGGTATTAATCTCTAAGAACCAGGACGATACAGAATGGTGAACGAAAAATACTATTTCTATCTTTGACGAAATAGAGGCCTAACACACTCAAACGCACCTACGTGTCACAAAATGCCTAAAAAGCAACAAAAGGTAGGCAAAGGCCAGCTCAAATGGACACGTTTAGCTAAAAAAATGTATTCGAAACAACAGCTATACAAATATAACAATTAGTAAATATATACCATAATCACAGAATTAAATATATGTTTCAAACACATCCAGATAGTGCAAGGCTGCTATTCCTCCTTCAAATGTGCATTTTTCCATGCATTGTGACCCCCGATAAGATTAAGCGGGCTAAACAATGAACACATGGTACGTACAAAACCTACTTTTCATAACCCATTTCTTGTACCATTTTGAGGGCACGCATGCTTCTTACTCCACTTCTGCAGCTGAAGACCAAATTTTTCTCCCATTTTTCAGGCTTTTCAAACTTGTATTTCTCTCGGAAAGCCGCTTTGTCCATCTGAAAAGCTTCTTCGATTTCACCAACTACGAAGGTAAAAATACATTCCACCTACGCGGAATATTCACAGCATTAGGGATCCTTCCAGCCTCTATCAACTCGTCAGGTTCACGAACATCGATTAGTTTTAGGTCACCATTTTTCATCAATTCCTTTAATTTTTCCACAGTTATATTTATCTCTTTTTCCAGGGAATACCATCGAGATGCTGCAAAATAAATTTTCAAACTAGTAAGTTAGAGGAGTTTACAGGCTACGCTCCCAGTCCGGATATACGAACCAGATGCAGAAACATACAGTTGGTTAAGATTAGCGTAACGCGGAAAACTTCGAAAAACCACAATTCGAGACAGAAAAGATTGCATCACGACACGCGTTTACTTACTGAAACCGAAAGGATTTATATACACCGCAGTCAGAACAGCCAAAACTAAAACCAGCAACCAAATAAAGTTCTTCGCTCTGCCCATAGATAATTGCACAAATTTTATTGGCGAATAATTGGACGCGAACTTAAACAGGGGGTATAGGTCAGTGTACGCCTTCAATGAAACGTTAAAACAAAAGCAACCAGTTTTCACATTTCATAACCAACAAAGTGATAAGTAAGCTTAAATCAATTCTTTTTGTAGCATTAATTGTTTTTCGCTGTTTGAAACTGCAAGCAACGCACTGTTTGAGCTCAAGAAAGAACAAGATAGAATTAAGCAAGCAATAACTTCTTTATTTTTGTTTTTTTTTATTTTGATTTACAGCTTGATTCCACACCGTATTTTCAGTACAATTGTGGAATTTTCAGCATGGATATCGGTAGCCCAAATTCAGGCCGACCATTGATATCGGGTGTGCGCCGGCAGGGGATCGAACCCCGGACCATGTGCATGGTCGGCGAGAGTCCTAACCACTGTGCCACCGACGCACACAAAAAAAATAAAAAAATAAAATAAAAAAATAAAAAATAAAAAATAATAAGATAGAATTAAGCAAGCAATAACTTCTTGACGACTTTTTCTCACTCTCTGCAGTTATGAATCCGTGAATACTATGATCTAAGTAACCAGTAAAGCAGATGAAAATTATACATCGTCTTTACCAGCTATTTGTATTGTAATAGTCATGGATTTATATCTTTAGAGACAGATGGAAACTATCGGAAACATTTGTTCGCTCAGAACCATTTTCTTTGATTACACTGTGGGGATTTTTGATTTACTGAAATCAACAAGGCATAATAAACAAAATGTTTACTAAGAGCTCTACTCGCTCCACATTAAATGGATTGAAATTAACTTTCACTTGTGAATGCTTGATGAATTACTTCCTTAGCATAAGTTTCATTGAATATTCAGAGGCAGACTTCTTATTCTACGCACGTCCCAAAGAATCCTCATTTTACTCGGTCTGAAAGCAGTGCCTGTGAATTTACATGTATATAAAGATATATGCCCACCCAATGAAACCGAACTTGCCTGTGGAGACACTTTAAAGTCTAGTGTGGAATTCACACGTAATATAGATCAAAATCTAGCTTTCAGCGCCTCTTATTCAACCCACTTCTGACGCATTTTCTAATAAGTTTCACTGGCTATTATCAATGGGTAACCATAAGGAACTAAACCATTTGCTGCTACCTGTTCCCATTGAAATGGTCAGCCAAACTTTTTCTCCTTCCTTACGAAAACTAACAGAAAATCGGTGGGAGTGCAGATAATAAAAATTCGATCTCACCATCAGTAAATCATAATTTTGGCCCAGTTTTCATTGCAGCAGGTACGTTTCGACTACAAAGTTCCCAGTAAACCATTGTGTTGTCCACAACACTTGAGAAGTATTGCAGCATACCTAGCAATAATAATCAGCCGTGCGTTGTTCTAATGACATTCAATAGTGTGTATAAACAAAAGTTTGAGTCAGTAAGAAGTTCTGTTGACACGGGCATATCGCATATTATGTTCCAACTCATAAAATTAGGAACACAAGGGTTAGTAAAGAGATCTCTCCTTGTGACTTCCCCTCCAAGCTCTAATTTAGTTGGAGGTTTAGGTTTGCAGTGTTGGTTGATAACCACTCGAATTACTCTACAAGTATTGTTCCTTTTGATAATTTTCTCTTTAGGTTCCGTAGTTATAAATCCATTGATATTATTGGGCATCCACCTTCCGTAGTGTCCGGAATACTCAATCACGACAGTCTGACAATACGCTGAACGGATTGTCACATATGTTGTTACACTGAAGGGAATCCCAGGGGCATTTAAATTCAAACATCGTTACTTTATGTGGAAACCAGCTATTCTTTCTTCTGGTGGGTTTCGGAAGCAATGTATTTTCTTATTAGCTTCAACTAATCTAGATTTCGCCACCCATAGCACTACGTGCAATCAAACGCAGTCATGCAATAGAGTTGGACAAATTGATGTCCCTAAAATCCAAGACAAGAAGGTGAAAAGATAGAAGGATTGACAATGGAAGCTCTGCTTATCGTATTAGCTGAAATACTTGCAATACGAATGACTAGACAACTTTCCCAGATATCTGGAAAATTCTGCTACATCTACGGCGAACAGCAAGGAATCCAATATCGTGATTACGAGCTAGTATAAACCAGTGATTTCTTTGAGCTCGCTTCTTGATTGTAAGGTAGAGGTTCCAGATCTTCGGTGAACTTATGCGTAGTAAATGCCGCGCACTCGACTGCTTTAGCTCTGGTAGACTCCGAGAGGAATGGTGCGAGGGTCGGTCAAGATGTGGTTTGTAGTGTGCAGTATGTTAGGACTCAGCTGCTGCCGTGAATGGAGTTCGACCTAACACCCGTTGGTCATTCGGTGTAGTCATAAAAGTAGAATAATAATAGGTTGTAGTGTAGATAATATAGGTTGAGATAAGTGAAATAATAAAGGTGACCTAAGGAAAAGATAGAGTAGTCGGTACAGTGGGAGAAGACTCAACGGGTTGTGGGGATATAGCTTGTATGCTTATCCACTGGCAGTGTGGTTTCAAATTTTAAGAGGATAGGCCATTGAGATACAAACCATGCATTTCTGCATGATTGTCCAGCTTCCGCTTAAAAGTTTCCACAGATGGCGCTGTAGTCACGGCCGCCGGTAAAGCGTTCCAGAGACGGCAAACTCTCTGGTGTGCTATCCTTAGCGGGTTACCTCGTGGAAGCCTATAACGACTTAATGGCAGGATGCTTTTATTTGGGTGGGCCTGGTCATTTAAGATCTTTTAGACGGTGATGAGGTCTCCCCTGTAACTACGGTGACTAAGTGTGAAAAGACTTAATTTCTTCAGTCTTTCCTCATTTGATTTGTTGCGGAGGCCGATCACCCATTTTGTCGCTCGTCTCTGGACACTTTCTAGAATGTTAGCATCCCTTTTGAGTAGCGGAGGAGCAATGATATTATGCACCTCAAGGAGTGGCCTCATGTATGTCGTTTACAACTTTGAGAATAGTTCGGGAGTAAGAGCTCCCAGCTGCCTATGCATAAAGTGTAAAGTAGCGTAAGCTTTGGCGACGTCCCTCGTGTAATTTACACTGGTGTCTAGCTTTTCTGTTAAAATAAGGCCTAGGTCGCGTTCTGATGGCACACAACTCAAGTTCTGACCACCAAGGGTGTAATTTACACTCTGTGACTTTCCGGAATGAAGTTGCACTACTTTGCACTTCTTTAAGTTGAAAGGCATTCCGTTAGCCAGGGCCCAGTCTCCCAGAGTTTGCAGGTCAGTCTGCAATCTGTCTGAGTCTTCCAATGAGTTTATTGCTCTCCAAATCTTTACGTTGTCAGCGTAAAGAAGCGCAGAGCAGTTCAGTTGAAAGGACAGGTCGTTGATATAAATCAAAAACATCAACGGACATAAGATAGAACCCTGAGGAACCCCTGATGCCGAGGTGTGCCAGGATGATCGGATGCGGTTGACTTTGGTGCAGAATTCTCTCTCGCCTAAGTAATCTTTCAGCCACGCGAGAAGTGCTCCAGAAACACCCACCTTGCTTATTTTGTGAAGGAGCAGACCATGGTGAACTGTGTCGAATGCTTTCGCAAAGTCGAGAAAGATCACATGGACTGGTACCTTTACATCCCAGGATAGTGTCCAATCGTTCCAAGCTAGTAGAAGATTCGTCACACAGGATCTTCCCCTCCTGAAACCGTGCTGTGCTTCATGGAGTAGGTTAGTCCCGTCGAAGTATTTTCTCATGTGGTCGTCAATGAGACTTTCCAATATCTTCGATATCACTGGGAGTAGCGCAACTGGTCTGTAACTGGTCGCGTTCTGCCGGTCACCACCCTTGAAGATAGGGGATAGGATGGCTCGTTTCCATTCACATGGAAGTTTCCCTACATCAAAGGAGTGTTGAAACAGATCGCTTAGGGGTTGGCAGAGACTTTCTGAACACTGCTTCAGGACGGATGGTCTTATGTCATCGCAACCTGCAGACTTTCCCGAAGCCAACTTTCCCAATTTTACGAGTACCATAGCCGGGGTAATTTCAGATGTACCCAGCAGGTTTTCGCACGTTCGTCTTGCATTGTAATCTTGATGTTTTGTGGGGGTAAAATCCTCGTTACTGTTCAGTTGCCTGTGAAAGGCTAGACTGAATGTCTCTGCCATTTCAAGACTAGTAAGAGATTTCCCATCAGAACCCACTAGATTGCAAGCTCCCTGGTTGGTCGGTTTTCTTTCAGAAATAAACCTGTATAGGCTTTTGGGGTTCAAGGGAAGCTTATTGGCGAGGTTTCTCTGAAATGTCCTTCTATCACTCCGGACTCGTATGTTACATCGATTCCTGATTTCGAGGTACACTTCATGTTCGGGTTGACTCTTCGATACTCGCCACGCAAAGCAGGCTTTTCGCTTCGCCTGCAGAAGGCGTTGTGTCCCCCTTTTTAGCCATGAACGTTGCTTCCTAGCTTTTGGTGTGACTAAAGGAACAGTGTCTGAGACCGCCTGGTGAATGATCTCCTTTACCACTCTCCAGTGTTCTTCTACCGTAAGCTCTGTCCAATTTTGTGGCCAATTTGCTTCAGACAAAAGTCTTCGCATTTCGGTGTAATTGGCTTTGTTATAACACGGATAGGGCTGTGTATTGTCCCACTGTAAACGCTCGCGGAGGACTATGTCGAATGTTATGACCGCGTGGTCACTACTGTGGTGAGTGCTACTTATAATCCGATATAAGTAGTATATCAGGAACGAAGTAACAACATGTTTGGCACACTGGAAAGAGCAATCAAATAAGAGAACCATGAGAAGAATGTTGCCATATGATGCAGAATCCAAGAAGCTATCGAATGAGACGATATTCCACCAATTAGTCAAGGATGTGGTCAATGATGTGCAAATGGCCGGTTGAGAATATGGTATTCCAAATTTGGCTATGTACCATACGTTTCACCAAATAAACATTCCTTTCAACCTCCTCAGTCTTGTCTTCTTTACACTACTACCTATGGGAGTCGTGATCTGAACGTTTTCCACTAGTAGCTGGTCACTAGTGAGCACATAATCCAGTCTAGAAGACTTCCCATCTGGGCCCCATCTAGTATCCATTCTGACATTTTCAGTGAATCCAGCCTCCCTGATGGTATGCAGCAGATTCCGATCAAATCTATCATGGGCA